TCCAGAGTACTCACATGGCTCATGATGGAAGTACCTTTCTGATATTTAGCGTTGAAAAATTCCTCCAGAAGTTGGCATCTTTGTTCGGTGTCATCTCGTTCATAAAGTTTCAGAAGTACGTCCCACATTGCTTTTGCGCTGTCACAGTTCATGAGATGAATCATCACACTTCTCTCCACCGTTTGGACGATCACTTTTTGTGCAAGAGCGTCACCTTTCTGCCATTCCTTGAGTTGTTTTTGGTCCTTCTTTCCATCTTCTCCATCCGCTGCAGGTTTCACACTTTGTCCCGTCAGTATCTCGTACGCATTTCCAGCTTTCAAAACAATTGTAACTTGGAATTTCCAAAATTGAAAATTGCTGGTATCTTTCAGTTTTTCAATATCTCTAAGTTCATCGCGCTTGTTGTTATCCATTTTTAAGTTTTACTTTAGTCTTTCAGATTTCACAAAGTTCAGAGTGATTTTAATTTTTCTTATCTTTCAAAAGTTCAAAGAGTTCCGAATTTTATAAAATTCAAAGTTATTTTAATTTTCCTGAACTTCTGGTTTCACAAAGTTCAGAATTAACCACCGTCACTTCAGTTCTTCACAAATTTTTAATTTTTTTAAATTTTAATTTTATTTTTCACAAATGGGGTTTTAATTTTTAATTTTTATTTCATCCCTTCACAAGATGGTTTTAAATTTTTTTTAATTTTAGACACAAAGAACGGGGTTTTAGTTTATATTATTCGGTGCACAACATGATGAAAGTAGTTTTCAGTTTCTGCCCTTTTCCGAGCATCGAGTCACATTATTCCACAGGAACCACAAAACATATTAATCCACAGGACGACAATACCGCGTCGCGTTCCGCGTAATCCTGGGCCCATAACCTAATGAGGATAGGTGTTTTGGGTATATTTCGGAGTAGTCATTATTGGAATATGAATTACATATTTTATTGAAAGAAAACAGAGAACGTGGTCCGACGAGGAGGAGGAGATATGTTGGCGAACTAGCTAACAAGGGGAAGGGGCTGCTATACGCAGGTGCTTATCAACATTGAAATAGGACTCGCAGTATGAATGAGTCGCCATAAAGCGACGTTGTCAAGATTATGATTAATTCCAGGGTTCAACATTCACAATATCACTTATCAACATTGTTCAATCTTGTCTTCAATAAAATAACACAAAATAGACATTTTCCCAGATACAAGTTGCAAACTTTGCAACACTGTATTATCGTATCCTTTTATAAATTAAACTATGCATCTACGAGTATCACTAATTGTTGATTCTATGCCCCAAAATACAGTTCGATCTTCAGTAATAGCGGTTTGTGAATGAGAAACTTTAAAAAATGAGCTTTTTAAAGCTGAAAAATGTTAACTTAGCAACGTTGTACTGCCAAAACAAGGCTTACGCATGAGTCAAAATTCTTGCTGGAGACTTTTCATATTATAATTCATCGTGTGCACCTCGTGTAAGTATTGTAAAGTCATTTTTGAAGTTGGTTTTTGGAAGAAAATCCATAAAAATATGAGAATTTTAAAGCTCAAATATGCCAACTTTGCAACGCTGTATCTCGGAAACAAGACATATACTCAAGCAAAAATTTTTACTGGAGGCTTGTCTCATCATAAGGTTTCATTTAAGCCACATACGAATGAAATCCCCGGGTTCCCGAAAAGGGGCCATTTTTAGGGAGGCTCTTTAATTGAAAAAAAAAAATTGAATGGGCACCTCAGATCAGCTTAATTTTTCAGCCATGATCACAGATTAAAGTATTCCATGCGATGATTTAACTATGTATGGTCAAGTAATCAAGGCAGAGAGTGCAAACATTTCAAAATCATGAGTTGAAAAACGCCGACTCCGCGAGTTTAAATATTAGAGCCTAACATAGAGCGGAGCGGCGTGTTAGCAGCGGAGATCGCGCACTGGCGCCTACAAACCTAACTGGATACTCCACGCGTTGCGCTACGCGCGAAGTATCCAGTTAGGTTTGTAGGCGCCTATGCGCGTTCGGCGCTGGTTGCCTGCCGCGCCGCAACGCTTTAAGCAATACTATTCCGCGTCAGAGGCGTTGCACAGTATCCTACGAGATTGAAGGCGCACGAAATAACTAGTTGAAGAGGACTTTTAATTTTGACTGCATCTGTTACTGAAAAATGTTTAATTTGGCATTGGAGCGTTTCCTAGGCTCCCGCTTCGGTTTTCATCTTATCATATCCGTACAGTGTACACATGAACATATCTTTTTATCTGCTCTTACAGTCTGATCATGAATGAAATGTGTTTAAGAATGAAGGTAGTAGTAGTATGCATTTATTTTTGAGGTGGTTCCTGTCATTTAAATGAGAGGGAAAAAATGTGGACATAACATGTCCACAATTTGGACAATTTTGGACATATTCATGGTTGGACATTAAATCATTAAATCATGTGGACTTAATAAAGACTGGACTTAACGTTTAGTGGACATAAATAGCGGTGAATATTTATTTAATGGACGAAAGGTAGATGGACCTAAAGTCCTGGAAGCCTATGGATGTACCTATTATTCTCAAAATAAATCAATAAAATTAATTTTTAACAATAATTTAGTGTCAAAGACGATGCAACTATTAATTGCTCGTAACTACAAACCTTTAAACAGGATTCAATAAATTCTTCTAAAGTAATCACACCATCTTGATTGATATCCAATTTTCTAAATACAGTATCGACATGCGTCCTTGCCTTCCTATCCACATCATGCTGCAACATTAAAAAAGAACAAGATTAGCGAATGTAGCTTCAGTTTGATATCCATGTTACCACCAAAAATCACAAAAAGTCTTATTTTCCGCTATGGGTAATACAGTGCCGGCTCTTTGAGCCAAACATTTCCTGAGTTTTCAAAATAGCGTTCAAACTAGCAGTTTATTACTTAAAACAAGTGACTGATGTTTGTT